TTCACTCCCTCTTATGATTCTCTTCTTTTTCTATTTATTCCTGTGGTAATTTACTCCAATGCTGCTTTAAATAAATCTAGGATTATCCAAGAAAATTGTCTCAAGTCAGGTGTATATCAGTGAACCAACACTGTCAATGGCAATATTTATATAGGATCTACTAAAAATATAAGTAAAAGGTTTGCTGAATATTCTAATCCTAATTATTTAAAAGTAAATCCTTCTATGATTATCTGTAAAGCTTTGAAAAAGCATGGTTATAAAAACTATTCTTTTGAAATCCTTGAATATTGCGATCCAACAGATCTTATGTAAAGAGAGAGGTATTATCTGAATCTATTATGAGAGGGAGATACACCGTTGGTACAATCTATCCCAATATCCTACTGCTCCAATGTTAGGTCGTACCCATTCTCCTGAAACTCTAAAAAAGATGTCTGCTTGAGAAAGATCTCAGGAAACTAGAAATAAATATCGGAGGCTAATAAAGGAAAAAATAATGCTATATTTGGTAAACCTATACCCACAGGGACTGGAAGGCCTTTTCAAGCAATAGACGTTTTTGATCAGGATACAAATGAAACGATTGTTTATGAATCTATAAGTGCAGCAGCTAGAGCCTTAGATATCCCACGCGACTCTATAAGGAGTACTTTTCGTATAAATCAGCAGAAGCCTTATAAAGGAAGATATATTTTCAAAAAAGTCGATTAATTGTTTTTGTCAATTGGCAACAGGTTGACATGTTTTACCTACATTTAAAATATCTTTACACACTAAAGATAGAGCTCTCTTAGAGTCTATTCAAAGATCACTAGTATAAAAAAAAAAAAACATGGTAAAAATTCCAAACATTTACGTATCAATGGTTTAAATAATTTAAGTGTAGTGATAAAACACTTAGATAGCTATCCTTTAATTACTAAAAAATTTTCGGATTATGTTTTATTTAAACAGATTGTAAAATTGGTAGGTCTAAGGGAGCATTTAACCAAAGAGGGATAGTTAAAATTGGTTAGTCTAAAGGCTTCACTTAACTGAGGTCTATCTGAAAAATTAAAAGAAGCATTCCCCGAAATTATCCCTGCTATTAGACCTTCGGTTTTATCTACTGCAATAAAAGATATAAATTGACTAAGAGGATTTGCAGAGGGAGAAGGGTGTTTCCAGGTTGTTTTCCAAAAATATAAAGATAAAACCTCGGTAAGTTTAAGATTTACATTGACTCAACACTCTCGTGATAAAGTTTTGATGGAAAGTCTAGTTAATTATTTAGGCTGTGGAAGATACTATTCATCATCTACACGTGAGGAAGTGTATTTCATTGTCTCTACCTTCTCTGATATATCTAATATTATTATTCCCTTGTTTCATAAATATCCTTTACTAGGTTCTAAACAACAAGATTTCTTAAATTTTGTGAAAGTAGCCGAATTAATAAAATCTAAGGATCATCTTACTAAAGAGGGGTTAGCAGAAATTAATACTATTAAAAGTAGTATGAACAGTAGAAGAAGCCATTCGGCTTCATATAATGAAGCAGAGTAGATGAATACTCGAGGTTCCGTTTATAATTAAATACCTTAACCGTAAATGCATATAGATCAATTATCCGTATGGTAGAGTTCCTCCCAACAAGTAAGACATAGGAGCGACGATTC